CAGGGGACTGTAAAACCATCTCCACAAGGCAGGCTTTTCTAGAAATTCACTTTGACAGCAGAGGCCAGATCACAAGATTACAAGAGAAGGAACCAGAGGCTGGCACCCAAATCATGTAGCTGCTGGTTTTTTCCTGCCTACTGTCACTTTTTCACATGTTGTGCTTTGTTCTACTATGCTTTCTTTGAAAAGCAGATCACTTGGCAGAGTTCTGAGGCCTGTAGGTCCAAGAATCTCCACTAGGCATCTCATGTGCTGCCTGGTGTTCTTCCGCTAAACCCCTGAGACACAGAAGAGTAAAAAGAAAGTACTTCTCTTTTTACTTTTTCAAAGGCTTTCTAGACTCTCTGCCAGAAAAACAATGCAGGCAGTTCTGCTGTTTCAGGAAAGCAAACATAAGCATCTTTCTTGCTCTCGTAGGACACACTACTCTGGTTTTGTTTTTTTAATGCATTAGGTTGGCACAGAGTCTCACTCTGCAGCTCGGACTCAGTGATCCTCCTGTTTCCAGCCTCCCCAGTGCTGGGATTACAGGTGTGTGCCACCATGCCCAGACTCTGTGGACAGCTCAGCCTATCCTGGGGGCATGGCTCACGTGGCATGTGGTGCTGGGGATTGAACCACAGCCCCTGGGCTTGCCTAAGCTTGCCCAAGCAGGTGCGTTAGTCCACTGAGCTAGCTTGCCAGCCTGATACACTACTCTTAAACTTCTGTGTTCATCACTCACTTGAGAACTTGTCCAAATGCAAACTTCAAGGTCTTCCACTCACCCATGTGGGGTGGAGCCCAAGAGTTTGCGTTGTACACAGGTCCCCAGGGGAGGCTGATGCTACAGAAAGCCAACAGCAAGAAACTGAGCTGGCCTACAACTAGCTCACCTATAGGCAGGTGCTGTGGGAAAGCTGCCACATGCCAGCTAGCCCAGGAATGACCTTCACCTAGGCATCTGCAAAGTGGCTGATCTCCAGGGTGAGCGAGCAGGGAAGTAACAGCCTCTGTTTCAAGTCTGACTACCTCAGTAGGGGAGAGGAAGTGAGTGCAATCAGGCAAACTTGCTGCGGCAGCTCCTCATTTAGTAAGCCAATAAACTGGGCAAGTTTCAGCAGCTCCTTTCCCAGGGGCTCCCCCTGAGCTGATTCCCTCCAGAGGATGAAGGAGAAACACTGCCAATTAGAAGTATCAGGGAGAGCTCTGGAGCATGTGTGTACTCTGGTGAGGCCCTGAGCCACAGGGGAAATCAGGGAGCGCCCAACAGCCTGGATGATGAACAATTAGAAAGCAAGACAGGTAGACACCGAGGACCTGGTCCTGGAGGAGGATATTAAGACTCCGTGTGCTTGGAAACTGGAGCCTTGATGAGGAATTTCTGTGAACTGAAGAAAACATTCAGATGAGCTTAATTTCCCAGGAGGCTGCCTGATTAAACCATCATTATTGAGACTCTGTGTGCGACTGTGTGACTTGGGTAAAAGGCCGGAAGCCGCCTACTTAGCGGGCTGAGCCTGTGACAGGAGAGCCCGGCAAGACAGCCAGGGGCTGAAAAGGGAAATTCCACCCAAGGAGCTTGGGGTTAACAAATGGCCCTTCAGCAGCTGTCTTCATCAGAAGTATGTTTCCAGCATAGCTTCATGTTCGCATAAAGTCCCAAAGGAGCCACGCGGCCTCATCTGACTGAAGGGCCGTGAAACTCGCTACTTCCTTCTGTTTCTGGTCACTTGGTGGAGTGGGTGTCTTTCCTTCACATCTGGTCCACCTCTGCTTCTAGGAGTCTTCTGCATCCTGTCCACCCACGGCCAGTATTTACTTGCCAACTAGTCCACCCAACTCTCAGACTTCGATGCCCACTTGTAAACTTACTGTGACATATTTTAGTAAAATTTAGATTGTTTCAATGAAAGACAGGGCTTCACCAAAGTCCTATCTAGAAATGAAATACCTAACAATTGTGAAATGCACCAAACAGGCTTCAGTGAACAAGCAAATCACTAAAAGGCACTTTGCCCGGGACTGCCAGAGCTGCCGCTTCCGGGTCTGCTAATAAAGCCCACATCGTAAGAAGAGAGCAAAGAGATCCAACAGCAGAAGGGGAGTGGACTCTCAGCCAAGGGGGAGTTAGGATGCTACAGACAAATCCTGGAATTTGCGGAAATGAGAACAGAACTTAAATCCCATCTCTTCACTTTCTTGTTTTTTGACTTAAAAAAAATAACATTAGCTCAGTGTTCTCATCCAAAACTCAGTAAAATATGGGGGGGGGGAGAAGTTCTTCTAGAGGGTGGCAGGGATTAAATGAATAAAAATAGCAACCAATACGAGAGAGTCTCCACCTTGGCAAAAAGCTGGACTGCCTGGGATCAGCTTCACTCCCTCCTGTACCATCACTAACAGCACAGTTAAGGATTAATTAAAATTATAAAGAGCCACAAGGGAAGAGTAACAAGGAAAAGAGAGATCAATAAAGTTTTCAAAACAGTAAGTAGTAGGCTATAAGAGTGGAAACTAATTTGAGAGATAGATAGATAGATAGATTGATTGATTGATTGATTGATTGATATAGGTGAACAGACAGACAGATATGGCCTGGAACCTCTATCTCACAGACAGGAAATGTCAATAAAAATCAGCCATAACATCAGAGGGACTCATGGGCCCTTTTAGGATCAAGATTCGCCTAAAGTCTGAGGAACCACTGCAGGACTACATGTCCCATGCTACCTTAAAACACAGAGGTTATTCCAGGAAATATTGAGCCCAAGACTCTCGATGTATAGAGATACTGGATATCAAGAAGGAAGTCAAGGGCCGGGGAGATGGCTCAATGGAATAAGCGCTTCCCCGGCAAGCGCAAGGGCATGTGTTCAATCCCCGGTTCCACAAAAAAAAGGAGAGGAAGAAGAAGAGGAAGAGGAAGAGGAAGAGGAAGAAGAAGAAGAACAAGAAGAAGAAGAAGAAGTCAAGAGTTCAATCCCTGGTTCTGCAAAGAAAAAAAAAAGAAGAAGGAAGTCAAGCTCTCTAACTAAGAATGGGACAGAATGAAGTACTGATATGTAGAATGGAGAGGACTTCTTCATTCCCTTTACTGTCTTTTCTTCTTAACCTCAGAATGTTATAGAGAGCACCTCTTTAGTAAGCTGACTTGAGATAAAAGACCTAGAGCTGCAACACTCAGAGGTCCTCCAACAAAGGGCCAAGAGTATCCCATCTCAACACTGCATCGCTGGGCCTGCATTTGACAAGTTCATCTGTACCCACAAAAGGTTGTACAGGCTTCCGATCAGGATTTCAAATGTGTCATTAATTGGAAACAAACAATCAAGGCCCACTAGCATCTGACAAAGACCAGTGCAAAATTACGTAAGGTAAGGGCCAGCCTGATGGCTCAGCGGACTAAAGCGCCTGCTGAGGAAGAGCACAGCAGCTGGGGTTTGATCCCTGGCCTGCCAGACTGGCCACACTGAGCCGGTGATTGAGAATGGGCATGGTGGCACCCGCCTGTAATCCCAGCACTTGGGAGGCTAAACACAGGCAAATCGCTATGAGTCTGATCTACATAGTGAGAACCTATAGACCTTACAGATCCTGTACTAAATAAAGAAAAAAAAAATATGTAAGATGCCAAGGTGCAGTAAAAATTAAATTTCAAGTTGGACTCAAGGCTTGTCAAAGCAGATAGCCAAGGACTATCTGCAGAGGTCAGATCCTGAGGATTAAAATAAGTAAAGAGAAAGGTTAACCAGGAGAGTGATTTCTTAAAAAAAAAAAAAAAAGTGCTGTGTGTCCCTCTAACACTAGGAGGGGTGATATGGCCCCTGGTAGCTTTTCATCAAGAGGGACTTCCACCCAGCACAGTGGTGCAGGCCAGGCCCTGTAATCCCAGCACTCTGGGAGGCTGAGGCAGGAGGCTCAGAAGAGACCAGCCTGGGCAACTTGGCAACTTACCAAGACCCTGTCTCAGAATTTTTACAAAGGGGGTTGGGGCTGTAGCTCAGCGTGAAGGCTTTGTGTTCAAACTCCAGCACTGCAAGGGGCTCAGATTTTGTCTGCATGGCATTCCATCATTACTGGGCTCCCACTCATGGTCTCTGACTCGTCCGTGGAAGGGTTTCTAGCTGGAAGCCCGGCTGCGGGGACCTGGGACTGCGAAAGGAGGAGCAAAGAACAAATCGGCGGAGCACCACGGGCTGTGCGAAGAAGGAGCAGGTACCCAAAATGGGAGGGGGATGAGGCAGAGCCTCGTGGAGCCTACCTAAGGGATCGCCGGGAAGGAATGACAGAAACAACCCTGTGAACAAAGATCTGAGCGACTGAGCCTCAAAGAAACATGACCCAGAGAATCAAACAGCCACATGTACGGGGCAAGTAGGGGTCACCACTGGACCAGGACTCCATCCACACGAGCTGCAGCTCACCATGGTCAGGCGGGGCAAGCTTCAAGCCAAGCTCACAGCACTACCTCCTTTTTCCACTGCCTCCTCACGTGGCATCATTGGAAATGGGGTGCAGTAGGGATGCGATGGTGAGTGGGGAAGGCCTTGGGAAGGTGAGGGGTCACACCTCCTTCCTACTTCCTACAGCTCTGAGACCCTGCCAGCAAGCAGTGGTTTGCCCACTTTCTGCAATGTACTTACTACCGAATTTCCTGAGGGCTTGGTTTCTGTACTTCTAATCCTAAACTAAGGCTATACATAAAACTCTCTATTAAGAGCAATCAGAAGACCGTGGGCTGACCAAACTTTTGTGTAGGTAAAAGAAGTAAACCCATCCTTTTCACTCTAACAGGACAGGAAAGCACCGAAGTTTTCTTCCCTCTGTGCATGAGTTAGATATACTCGAAGCAGGCATAAAAACTAGTCAGGATAAAACAGACAATCAAAAAGAAAGCTTGCGCTGAGTGAAAAGCAGGTCAGGTCGGAAGGATCAGGGATTAGAAATAAGAACAACATAGTAGTACACATGGTCTGCGATGGTCTGGGATGCAGCCCTGACTGACCCTGTCCTACCTTCTGGGCCAAACACCTCCCCGCAGTGCGCGCAGAAGAAGTGCTCAGGGTGCCAGGTCTGGTTCATCGCCGTCAGCACCCGCTGAAACAGGCACAACAGAGACGTTAGAAGACGCCGGATGGCGTGCACCATGTCCCGGCTTCATGCGGATGGCAGCGCGCCGCAGGGCACGGGGTCACTTACGTCCAGGATGGGAGCCGCGCAGTAGGCGCAGCGAGGCGAGAACAGGTGGTGGTAGTCCCTGGGGCAGTAGGCCGCGCCGTTCCGCTCGAAGAAGGCACTGGTGCCAATCTCTTTTTTGCAGTGAGTACAGACGAAGTGCTCCGGATGCCACGACTGCCCCAGCGCATGGATCACCTGCCAGAGGGGTGACACAGAGCCCAACTTGACAGGGGCTGGAGGTCCGGAGGGCGCACAGCCCTGGAGGCGCTCTCCACACCACGATCCACCCAGGCAACAGCCTGCTCTTTTGCAACACGAGTTCAGACACCGGTTCCCCCGGAGGAGACTGTGGTCTGCAGGAAATGGTTTCCAAGGTGGTCTCTGATCAAAGCCTGCCGGTGTTTTCCGCTACTTTACACCTGCGGGAGTGGGAGTGGGGGTCGGGGGAGGAACATGGTGCCCACTGGGGACGGGCAGGAAGTGACTGCAGCCTGGGAGGGGGAAAGGCCAAATGCGCTTCCGCCCCCTTGCTCTGGGTTTCATCTGTCATCCCTCGCAGTCTGTCTCAAGTCCCCGTTTCAAACTTGTGTTAAAGGATGATACAGACCAAGTCTGCAGCTCGCACTGAAGGCCACCCTCAGTTGTAACAGCCAGTGTAGAACAGAAATGATTGAACAAGGGAGCAGTGAGAAAGGTATCCCAGGAAAGCTGGAGCAGAAATTGAACGAGAACTCAAATTCAAGAGTTAGGGTCCTGCTGGGGTCAAACCTTACACACACCGATTTCTAGACCTCTGGCACCAGCGGAAGTGTCTGCGTGAGGTTTCCTCTTTACAAAGGAAAGAGGAACAGAATCTCCTTGAAAGGCCAACAGGACCATTACAGGGGAAGTTACTTTAGGATTAGGGTTCGGGGCTTAGGGTTAGGGCTAAAGGATTAAGGTTAGAGTTAGAGGGTTAGGGAAGGGCTAGAGCTCAGGTCAATGCCCAGAGCACTGTGCAATGGTCAGTGATTATTAGTGATTACTAAATGCTTTAGGGAGAAGAGCCACCCTTCACAGGACTGACGCAGGCACTGGGGTTGCAGCACCAGCACCCAGGCTCGTCCCACCTTCCCGGCGATCAGTTTCTGGCAAGAAGCACAGTGGCCCTTGGGCACGGTGGCAATGCCGAGGTCCTGTAGCTCCTGTTCCAGGCCTCCAAGCATGGAGTCCAGAGATTCGCTGTGATCCTGCTTTCCTGGTAAGTGTTTCTTGCTGGTATCTGGTTTCACTGCAATCTGTTGTAAGGAAAGATCTGCCTTCAGGCTTTTTATCCTCACTGGTGGGGAGACTACGCCACCCCACAGGCTCAGCCCTGCAGGCCCACCTGCTGTTCTCCTCGCCTTCCTCCAAGGCACAGAAGAATCCAGCATTTTCACACCCACAAAAGGGCTTTCACTTGTGTCATTCTAAATACCTCAGCCCAAATGAAATTTAAACAACATTTCACTATTTGTAGAAAATTGAGCTTATAAGATGATGCCTTTCTATCTCTTATAAAGACCCCTACATTTTTCTCTTCTTTTTTGGGGGGTTAACGGGAATCCAACTCAGGGCCTCACACCTGTCAGGCAGGTGCTGCTCCACCCCTAAAAGCCCCAACCATATCTTTCTTGTATTCAGCTATTCATCCACACTTGCTGAGCACCTTGGCTGTGCCAGTCTCTATGTCAGGGGCTGGGAAGAAAGCCAAGACCGAGTTTCTCCTCGGGTAGGATTTGCTTTCTGTGGATGCTGCATCATAAACAATTAAAGATGCATATGGCGCAGTGTCAGGTAAGGAAAACAGTGCCTTTCACATGAGGACAGAAGAGGAGAGGACAAGATGGTAAGGAGAAGTGATTTAGGTGGGGGTGAGCCGAGCAGGCTCCCCTCAAAAGAGGTGGTCAGCAGGTCTGTGGGTGATACTGGGAGACCCCAAAATATTATGTGTGGTGAAAGCATTCCAGGGGGAGAAAAGGCCCTGGGAAAGGCAATGACTCAGTGCATCAGGGCAGCCAGGATGTCAGCGGGACTGGGGCAGAGGGGACAGATAGACAGGGCGCTGAAGATAAGACAGTGGTCACCCCAGAGCCTGGTGGAGAAAGCTTAGGTATGCTCGCAGGCGACAGGAAGCACTGATGGAGTCAGCAAGACCATTGCATGATGACATAGGGGAGTGTTGTGGGGGGGAGACCATTGCGTGATGACGTTGGGGAGTGTTGTGGGGGGTGGTGAAAGAACATGGTCAGATAAGACTTGCTGATGGATTGGATGTCTGGAGCAAAACTCCAAATGATTACAAGCCATTCAAAGGAAGATCCTCAGATTACAAAATGAAGATGCCTAATTGATCCTCCATCATTTGGCATCCTGATTCCAGCTCCTTCTGTGCTGTTCTGGCTGGGCTGGGCTCCATCCACCCAATGCTCTGCTGAGCCGCAAGCTACTCTGGAACTCTACCTCCCACACTGCACACACAGACTTGCGCCTTCTCCTGCCCACCCACTGCCCTCACTGTCCCTTTCCAGCCAGCCTTTTGTTATGCGGTACATGGCCTCCTTGTTGGGGGAGCCCCATCCCAGAAGGTGGGTGATCTGTCATTGCCCACCCCGGGGTTCCTACTCACTCTGCTTCCTGCCCAGAGTGACCTCACAGTACCTATCCAGTCCTAACCCTCATTTCCCTTCAAGCCACTCTGGCACTCCGACAAGTTTCTTTGTCCTCTGTTACATAATATTCATTTTTCAAGAAGACACCTTGCATTAAGATTGAACAATGCCAGGACACGTGCTAAATCAATTAGAAAACACACTGTACACCTCACCATGTAAATTTCTTCTGTCTTCAGATATACAGCACAAGGACCAGCGCACCCAGCTTACTGTGGACGCGAGCTAAGCAGAGCACATTAGCCATGAAGAAAATGTTCTGTGCTGACTCATTTGTTCCTAGTGAGAGACTCACCATGTGTTGGCCACCGCAGAGCACTGGGGGTGCAGGAGTGAGCCCCGAAGATGGGGTTTCTGCCTCCCTGATCACACACGTGGTTAAGTTCTGCCTTACAGTTATTTTGTAGTGCATGAATGTATACCAGATCTTCCAACCAGATTTAGAATAACTGAATTCTCTACTTCAAGAACTCCAGATCGATTTCCTTGATCAGCCCCGAAGCTCACTTATCTGATTTCCATCCCCTGCCAGGGCCTGCGAGCTCGTGCTCTGGGCCCAGATGCAGCAGCCAGGAAGCCCACGTGTCTCAACCCGGGCTCCTGCACCTGGCCTCCCTCCTTCGGTCCCAATTGCCCATCAGCCCATCTTGCTCCCCAGCTTCTCTGTGACAGCCCTTCTGCATCCCAGGGCTCAGGGCTGTCTCCGACAGCAGGACCTCTCTTCTTAGCTCTGGGTGTTCAAGCCTACACACTCCTCACACTGCATCGCAGCTACCTGCCCGCCTCTCTGCGGAAGTCTGCAGAACGTCTCTAAACCTGGCCGTGTGCCCGTGTGTTCTGGCAAGCCCCATACCCCACACCCTGTGAATGGCACATAGGCTTATGCCCAAGCGTATCTCAAGCTACCTGGGTGCAGGACTGATTATCTTATCTTCCGGGTCCACACAGCACATGACGCAAACCTGGATTCCCTCACTGAGTTAATCTGGGAAATCAACAGTCACTTGAAATTCCTGAGCTGGAGAGTTCAGGGCACAAGGACTCCTGGTGCCCCCACGGCCCTGCAGGTCACTGGCCACCCACACTCACCTCGGCCTGCATGTCGTTCAGGTGGGCCATGAGCTCCTCCAGCTGAGCGGCCGCTGGGGTCTTAGCAGGTGCTGGCAACTCCTTTGGCGCTTGAACTTTGCTACAGATAGAGGGAAAAATCTTACTAACGTGTCCAAACTCAGGTAAATGTCAAGTCACACATACACTACCACAAAACACAATTTTAACTATAAACCTTTTAGGTGTGAATCTAAAACCAGAGATAGACAGTATGTAAAAAATAGTTACTAGAAGAAATATCTCACAGGCTCTGCTGGGCGTCTGCCTCCATCTCTCCCCGAGCATCTCAAAAAATAGCCACTGCTCTCAGGCATAAGACGGGAGCCAATAGGCGAGTAGCTGTCAAGCCTGGCCTCGCTGGCTGCCAAGTGCCAGCAGCCTCTGGACAAGCTTTGAAGCCACGGGGCTGAGCGTTTAGTTTTAATAGAACTGTTGTTGAAGTATAACGTACTGTAGCTCCTCTCAGTTACTGTCAGGAAAAATTTTTAAACCAGTAAGACTGTAGCGCGAGCACCACCGATCTACGCCTGGAGCCAGCTCCGCGCCTGCCCCCTTCCCACTGCCCACCGCTGCTTCCCCACGCAGCTCTGACTACCCCAGAGCCTCACACTATTACCATCCAGCTTGCACAGAAGAGCTTTGCAAAGGCCTGGTATGTATTTAGATGACTATGTGGTGCTGAGTTCATATTTATGTAACTAAATAAATTATGAATCAATAAAACTTTGGGCTCAACAAATACACATTTTGAGGGCCTGTATAGCCATTAGTAAAACTGTGCTTGAGGAATTAAAATAGGGCCCAACAAATTCTAAAAAGTAAGCCATATTCATAGACTGCAGTGGATAAAAGTAAAAAATCAACCTTTATAAATACTGACTTACAAAAAGTTTCTAAGTAATTATTGGAATTTTTAAAATATTAAACTGAATTTTAAACTATTTAGATGTACCAAAGCGAGAACCCATGCGCACACACACATACACACACCCACACCACCCCCCACACACACAGAAACACACACATATCCTCTTAGAGTTTAAAGCAATATATCATTGAATGGAAAAAAGATAAGAATAATAAGGAGAAATAAGAAAGAAAAATAAGCAAAATTTACAAGTCAAGGACCTAAAACAGGTCCAGGAAGACAGCTCAGCAGTCTAGGCACCTGCGTGGCAAGTGCAAGGACCCAGGTTTGATCCCCAGCACCACGTGCCATGCTGGCTGGGCTCCATGTAGGCCACCGAAACCGGGCGTGGTGGCACACTCCTGTTATCCCAGCACTGGGGAGACTGTGACAGGAAGATCACTACGAGTCCAAGCTGCATAGCAAGACCCTGTACTAAATAAAAACATAAATAAAAAGAATCTAAAACAACCCTGGAGCCAAACTGTAATAAAAGAGAAAGGTAATAGAGCAGAACACAGGGGAAAACATGACAGCTTTCAGGAAGCGGCATAGAAAACGAAGTACAAAATGGCCCAGCAGTGAATGAAAGGATGTTCGCTACCTTTAGCTGTTAGGGAACACAGATCAAAATTACCTGGAGTGTCCGCCTCACACCAGTCAGAATGGCTGCCAGGGACTGGAATGAGCCCTGTGACCAGGCGCGGGGTAGGCAGGTTTCTACCCCATTGGTGGAACCCTATTTAGTACGGTCACCATGGGAATCCACAAGGAGGCGCCTCCAAAGGCTAAAATGACATCTCCTAAAGCTGCATCATTTGATCCAGCTGTACCGCTCGCTGGTACACTGCCAAAGAATTATATTTCCAAAGAACTAAAGGCAGCATAGGATAAAGGTACACGCAACCCATTTTACAGCAACACCATTCACAGTAGCTAGCTGTGGAAACAGACAGCTATGCATCAACACAGAAGCAGGCAAAGAAACCGTGACATGCATCACACTTGCTATTACATAGGAACTATAATGCATGTAATACATGCATTACATATATATATATATGTATATTCAGCTATAAACAAAAACAGAATCGTGTCTTTTGCAGGCAAATGGCTGATGGAAACCATCGTGTTAAGCAAAAGAAGTCATCCCAGTTAAATATCACATGTTTTTCTTATACAGTCAATCTAGAACTACAACTAGTTAATGAATTAATTAAGAGTTGATAGGAAGCTAAAAATAGCCCTTCAGTTTGGTGGTCTAAACACCTGCCTGGCAAGCGCAAGGACCCGGGTTTGATCCCCGGTACTGCATGCTGTGCCAGCTCCAGAGCCCCAGGCACACTGAGCCGGCCACCAAGACTGGGTGCGGTGATGCACGCCTGTAATCCCAGCGCTGGGGAGGCTGAGACAGGAGGATCACTAAGAGTCCAAGCTGCGTAGTGAGACCCTGTACCAAATAAATAAATAAATAAATTTTATAAAATAAAACAGAGATGAGGAAGAAGAGGAGGTTGGGGGAGGCAGGTGGCCGGGGAGGGGTAATGCGGCTGAAAATAATCCAAGCACATATGTGCCTGCACCAATGTACTAAAAAGAATCTCATTATTCTGTCTTACTAACATGGACCCATAAAAAATTCCTTACAAGTACACAGAGAAGCACAGAATATTACCCCATTAATTTTGTGAATATCACAAAGTTGATACCAGAAAGGAACAGTGCTCATGTATGTGTGAGGAACATAGGCACAAATGAGAGACCAACAAGGACAGAGGGAAAGAAGCTGAAGTAAAAATAGCACAAGTGTGGATTTTAGAGCTCGAGGGCAGCTAGTGTTTATCCCAATTACCCAAACTGGTTCACCGTTAGGGAAAGGATTAATATAACTTATTCTACTAACAATAAGAACACATTATACATATAATGACAGGTGCTGAAAAACGATGGAAAGCAAATTTAACTATCAGCACTATTGTTGAAGACTGAAGGGGGAAAATGACATAACCTGATACAATGTGTCTACAAGCAATCTATGCCAAACTCATTTGATAATCAAGTACTAAACGTATTTCGAATTAAGGGATAAGTAGACTACTATTCTTTCAATTATTTAATAGTTAAAGTAAAATAGCAATACATCACTTATTTGTTACGGGGTGTTGCTATGGAGCTCAGACTCCTAGTGATCCTCTTGTCTCAGCCTCCCGGCACTGGGATTACAGATGTGTGCCACCACGCCTGGTTGTGGTGGCCAGCAGGTGTGCCCGGGTTCCGGGGGCCGGCGCGACATGCACTACTGGGGATCAAACTCAGATCCTTGTGCTTGCCAGGTCTAACCGCAGCTTAGACCACCGAGCTATCTCCCCAGCCAAAAATTATATATTTTCAAGAAAGCAAAACACTCTTTTATTTTCTTTTAAAATAGACGATGTGATCACCAGCCTAGAAAATACAAGACGTATGATCAATGGTGAAAAGCTACAAGAATACAATGACACAACAGCTTTCTGAATAAAAACAATTAAAAAAATTCAATGAGTAAAAGAAAACCTTTCCATAACCCTGACAAAAATTCTAAAATATGTATCAAAAATGTATAAGATTTCTGTGAAAAAGCACTGACAGATATGAAGCACTTAACTAAAAATAGGCAAGAAAAAAGAACTCTGAACTGAAGTTTAAAAAAGACATGATAGAGCAAACCTCAAAATTTTAAACTTAATATTTCAGCAAACAATATTCAAAATTTTGGAAAAACATCTCCAGGTCAATGATAAAAAGCACACCAGTAATCCTAGCACTCGGAATCCTGAGGGAGGAGGACTGCCATGAGTTCGAGGCCAGCCTGGGCTATGTAGTGAGTTCAAGGGTAGAACTGCAAAGTGAGACCCTGCCTCAAAAGCAAAACAAAACAAAACAAAAATTCCAATTATTAGAAATATGCTCAATTTCATTTAAATAACCAGCGTAAGACAATGAGATATTGATTTTTACTTAGTAGTCAAAATTTTAAGTTTGACAGTATACAGTATGGGCCAAAGTCAGGCTTGTACTTATGCATACATATTTATATGTACCATGGTTAGTTATATAGATTTATTAAATCCTTTCCAAGGCAGCATCTACCAGTATTTCAGATGCATACAGCAATTGTTGATTCAGCAATTCTCTTCTAAGATTGTACTGTAGAGAAAAGTTAGACATATATACAACACATACATATATTAATGAAGAAGTTCTGCTTTTTGAGCAAACTGAAAATAAACTACATGGATTCATAGTCAAATAAATTAAATAATTCATCCAAGATAGAGAATAAACTACAACCACTAAAAACTAATTGCAGACACAGATTTGCATGGTCTGAGAAAGATATACTATTAAATCAAGACAGCAAAGCTCAGAATAATCTGAAAATTATCATCTGATAGTTGGTTTCAGGAAGAAGAGATGGTATCTATTTCCCCTTTATACTTCTGAGTTCTTTTGACTTTTTACACACAATGAGCTTATGAAATAATTCTGTATCTTAAGTTGCATTTTCAAACCAATTCAAGGATCACCTACTCTAGAAAAAGAGTGACGTATGCACCAACACAGTGTGTGGTGGCCAGAACAGTCAGCTGCCACCCACATGGCTGCCTCAGTTGGCACCTGTGCATGACACACCCAGACAGGAGTGTGTAAGCAACCATCAGCCATTTTCATCCACAGGAAATTCGGAGATGCTTCTGTCAAATTGTTTTAAAATGTAACTGTGTAGGGTCTGGGGAGATGGCTCAGTAGAATAAGTGCTTGCCTGGCAAGAGCAAGAGTCTGAATTGAATCCTTGGTTCTGCCAAAAAAAAAAAAAAAAAAGAAAGAAAAAAGAAAGAAAGAAAAGAAAATATAGCACTATACATGTTAAATGTAAGAAGTGTGAAAACGGCAGATATGGAAAGAAGAAACCATACGGAATCTCTGTCTCGGGAGGCGACTGCTTTACATATCTGATATTGTCACAGTTGTTTATGATTATGTGTGAGTATAGAAATGTTAGATGACTTCATATCGTCACATGGAGCAGCGCAGACACAGCAGCTGGTGTGCTGCTGAGGGACTCATCGGCCACGGAGAGCTTCGCACGGCTCCTCTTTGAATCTTCACAACGTTATCCGCGAGGTGCCATCGGCTCAGGCGACAGTTCTGGGGCCACAAGAAGTTAAATCTTTTCTCTACATACTACAGGAGAGAAATCACAGAGCCCGGGCCTGGACGCGGCAAAGTTTGTGTTCTCTATCTTTCAAAATGCTATATGGTTCTCAACTATATAATGTACTCTAATTTATGGAACCAAATTTATTGTTGGGCATGGGGACTTCTAAATTTTTACTATTGCAAAGAGTACCGCTAAGGAAGTATTTACACACATGAGTGATTCTTGCCACGGAGTAAAATTTAAAAAGTGGAACCACAAGAAAAGTAGTAGTTACCTACTTCATGGCAGGCAACTGAGGCTGGCATCCCATATGAACGTGAGCCAGGAGAGCCGAGCTACACAGGCAAGCCAATACGCAATCGCTGTCTGTCTGTCTGTCTCTGTCTCTGCTTCCCTCTCTCTGTCTCTCTCTCTCTGTCTCTCTGTCTCTCTCTCTCTCTCTCTCTCTCTCTGTCTCTGTCTCTGTCTCTGTCTCTCTCCACACACACACACACACACACCCTGATGCAAATCCACAAATAATTCTAAGCATTTATTGACCAGCAAAAAAAGTACACAGAAGATACTTGCCTTAAGAAAAACGGGCTGTGTTCTAATCACTTACTCATTCTTTAATATTTAACAAATGGACAATGTAAAAGGAAAATGGCTACCTTTCTCTCTTAAGATACAAGTTTGTCTTTGAAGCATAGCACAGCCCTCTGCCACATGCTCTTTTTGTTTGTTTTTAAATCTGAGAACAAATGGTTGGGACACCCAGGTAACTGATTCACGTCTGGGAAGCCCCTAGCAGGACAGAGCTCAGCTGCCTCTCAGACTCCTTCCGTCCCAGGGCCTCGGCAATTGGGGCGCTGCGCATGCTCCTGGGTAGGTGTGCGGGAGTACCGCTGGGACAATGCGTTGCCTTCTCGGCCCGCCCCTCATGAACCCTTTCCGCCTTACACTTGGGGTACACTTATACTTATCGAAAGACTCCCCACAGGCTTTTAAGTAGCGTCCTAGTTGCAGCACGTGAAGGAGAAATCGATCCTCGTAGAATACTCTAACAGCAATTGAATCAACACTGTAATATTCTAAATAAGAAATGAGACCTTGAAGAGCTGACGATTATGAACTAAAACGCCAAGCAGGACACACACCTGAAGAGAGAGAAGCCTCAGAACAGAGGTCCTGGGATTTGTCCCCTCGCCTTTTGAAGTCAGTAAAAATTCTCTGCCACGTCACCAACAGAAACCTCACTTCATTACTTAAGAGATTTCTATAATGCAAAGCACAAGATGTCCACTGGAAAGAATCTAGACTTCTTAAGTAAAGGGGTGCACCGTGCTAGAGATCCCCCATTTGTTTCTTCTATTTTTATGTGTTTTACCTTTCTATTGTTTCCAAAGTTATTATTTTCATTCATGTTCATTTAGATACAGTTCTAGGGGGCTGGGGAGATGGCTCAGTAGCATGAGCGCTTCCCTGGCAAGTGCAAGGGCCTGAGTTCAATCCCCGGCTCCGCCAAAAAATAAATAAAATAGATACAGTTCTAAGTTACTGTTCACACTGCTATTGACATATAACTGTTAAAAATACTATTCCTGGACCAGGATGTAGCGCTCTATTCAGCTGGCGTTAAACGTGTCCGAGACGTAATTCAAGCAAAGTTCCTTTAATTTAAGTGGGCCAGCGTCTAGGCAGAGGCAGGCGCCAGCCTCAGCGTCCTATCTGTGCAAGCGTGCTTTTCAGGCTGAGTGACAGCAGCCTCAGGGGTTATAAACGTTTGCGCCGTCTTTGTGAATGATTTATATTGCTCTCGCATACATCCGCACATCACAGGTATGGTTCAGTAACGGAGAATATCCGGCAAGGTCCGGACAGGAAAACACGAACCACTTTGAGCAAACCAAAGGAATCTGACCCAGAACTTGATTACGTGCACGACGGGAACAGCTCAGAGTGAAACAGTGCGCAGGTAGCACGGAGCCCACCGCCGCAGGAAGCCGTCGAGTGCCACCGGTGCTGAGGAAAGAGGCGGAGCGGCCGCAGCGCGGGCACAGGGAGCGCCCCGGGCCGGCCCTGCTCGCAGAACTCGCGGGGATGCAGCCCGTGGCAGACAGCAAGCGCAGGGGCGCGTGCACTTCTCTGCCCCGTACCCTCAGCCTTTCCACCAGGCCTCCACTAGGGCCCGCCTGAGAACCAGCGCCCCAAGCTTGGAGAGCGCAGCCTGCAGGGTCGCCCTCGGGGATACGGGAGGGGAACCGGGCAGCATCCTGTCGTGCAGGGAGCAGTGCCCTCGAGTTAGTAGGGCCGCGCCATCAGTTGGTCGCAGGGCCAGGAGACCGCAGGGTGGTGTTGCTCTGGCTGGTTCTGTGTTACATATGTACGTGTCTGCTGGGTCCCAATTGAAGTCGTGGCTTCCCTGGCTTATGGAAACCCACTTTTATGAGAGCCCCACGTGCATCAGGCATTGACTTCTTGGCATTTTATTTTGCTTTGATTTTTCACTGGGGCAGAGAAGGGGACCACCAGGGGAAAATCCTCACCAGCAACTTCCTGAAATTGGAACAGACTGCTAATGTACACACTGTATCACTAAACTGCCTCCCTCTCACTGAAGTAGAAAGTGCCCTCAAGCGGAAAGTTTCCAAAAGAATTCCGTAAAAGTCCTTCCCCCGTGCTTGTCTCCCGCATCTGCTCTGTAGCTGTGACATGGAGCCTAAGGCAACGTCGCGCGGTCTTCATGCAGCATGTGTACAACTTTGCTCTCCACATTGTGAGCCCTTCATTTGGCGTCAGAAACTGAAAGCTCTCACTGAGAAGTGAGGAGGTCTTTTTGTTATTTCAGTATCAATTCTGTTTTGGCTAAGAGGAACTCCAGGAATGAGTCTGCTGCACTATGTAACTTTTACAAAAAAAAAAAAAAAAAAAGAAATCCCTCAGTCTGGATGAATTCTGAGCAAATAAAGAAGTACACACACATTAGCCTGCAATGCTTTCTACCTACAGGCAGCTCTTGTCTTCTGACATAGCTGGAATCTTTTGTGAGTTTCTTCACGTGTGTTTTCTCTTTAGTGAACTGGAGCATGAGCTCAGGAACGGAGGGGCAAAGCATGTGGAGTCTCGGACCATTACACCTTTTCAGGTGGAAAAGGAACAGCGGAGCCCACCAGCCTGCACAGCCCCTCTGCAAGCCAGGGGCCTTGCGCAACTGCCCCAAGGCAGCGGGGCAGAGTTCTTCCTCTGCCTAGACTAGGTGAAGAGGAGGAGGAGGAGGAGGAAGAGGAAGAGGAGGAGGAGGTGGAGAAGAAGGAAGAGGAAGAG